TCTTGTCACGTCGACTCTGACAAACGGCATCTTCGAGGACCCCCCGAGACCTACCGAGGCGCGAACCTCTCTTCATTCCGACCTCCATGTCGCGGCGGAGCGGACCCCATTAACCCATAATCACGATCCCTGGCCCGGGTCACGGCAATCAACTGCCGCCGTCATGTTGGAAGGCCTGGTTGCAGGCCTGCTCAACAGGTTCCTGGGCATGTACGTCAACAACTTCGACCCCAAGCAGCTCAAGGTCGGCATTTGGTCTGGCGATGTCAAGCTGCGCAATTTACAGCTCCGCAAAGAAGCTCTCGACCAGCTCAAACTACCCATCAACGTCCTCGAAGGTCATCTCGGCGAGTTGACCTTGATCATCCCTTGGTCTAACCTTAGTGGTGCGCCCGTCAAAGTCTTTATTGAGGACGTCTTTTTGCTGGCGTCCCCGAAAGAAGATGCAGCATACGACGAGGACGAGGAGGAGCGGAGGAAACAGCGTATCAAGATGGAGAAACTTGACTCTGCTGAGCTTCTCAAGGAACGATCACAAGAGGGCCTCAGTTCCGAGGAGCAAAAGAAGAATCAAAGCTTCACTCAAAGCCTCGTGACAAAAATTGTCGACAACCTGCAGGTCACAATCAAGAACATTCACGTCCGCTACGAGGACTCCATCTCTACGCCTGGCCACCCCTTTGCTCTTGGTGTTACCCTTCAAGAGTTTAGTGCCGTCAGTACAAACGGCGAATGGACACCTACCTTCATCCAGGACTCGACAAAGTCGACCCACAAACTCGCCAAACTCGGCGCGCTTGCTGTGTACTGGAACACAGATACAGAGCTCTACGGGCCCGGTCGAGAGATCGATCAAGAGGACAGACCCACACTGACACACGAGGAGATGGTTGCCAAGTTCAAAGGCATGATCGCAAAACCCGACGAAGCCAAACCTGACTACCAGTTTGTGCTTCGCCCCGTCAGCGGGCAAGCCAAGATTGTTCTCGACAAGACAGGTGACATTCACATGCCCAAGACCAAGGCAAGTCTCTTGTTTGAGGAGATTGGTCTTGTGCTGGATGACGACCAGTATCGAGATGGCCTAATGATGGTTGACCTTTTCCACTACTTCATCCGGCATCAAGAGTACAAGAAGCTACAGCCCAAAGGTGTCACGCCCAAGGAAGACCCTCGAGCGTGGTTCAAGTTTGCAGGTGACGCCATTCTCAGCAAGATACACGAGCGCAACAGACGCTGGTCGTGGGAATACTTTCGCGAGCGCCGCGACGACCGAAAACGATATATCGAGCTGTTCAAGAAACGAAAGCAGCAACAGCTTTTCTCTGCAGAAGAGTCTGCGGATATCGAGGCGCTCGAGCAGCGACTCGACTACGAGGACCTGCGGTTCTGGAGGTCGCTGGGTCGGAATCAACTCAAGAAAGAAAACGCCGCTGCTCTGAAGAGTAAACCGGCGCAGGCCCAACAACAGGGCTGGCTTGCATGGGCATGGGGCTCCAAACCGGCCGAAGAGCAGCACAGCGACATGGAAGAAAACACACAGATCACAGAGGAGCAGAAAAAGGAGCTCTATGACGCCATTGATTGGGATGAGAAGACAGCGCTCGCCGAGTCGGTTGATGTTCCGAGGGAAAGTGTCAAGATGCAAGTGGAGGCTTCTTTGAGCACCGGCAGTTTCACGTTGAAGAAGAACCACAACGGTAGACTCAAGGATCTCATCAGTCTACACTTTGACGTCTTTAAGGCCAAGGCCCTTCAGCGCCCCGACTCTTTCCTTGCTGCACTCAGCCTCGGCGGTCTGCGTGTCAATGATGGCACCACGTCGAACAGTCTGTTCCCTGAGATTGTTCGTGTCAAGGACTCGCCGGAAACGCAAGAGCGCAAGGCTTTGACCATCGAAGAGCTAGAGAGCTGTGACGACGAGCCCTTCTTCAACATTGAGGTCGAGCAGAACCCCATCGACCGCGAGGGTGATATAGCCGTCGTGGGGTCGCTCAAACCGTTGGAGATTGTCTGGAATCCCAACTCAGTCGTCGGTGTAGCTGACTTCTTCCGCCCTCCAGAGCGACACATGGAGTCCATTAGTGCGCTCATGGAGTCGGCTGGCGCCACTGTCGAGGGCTTTCGTGAGCAGACCCGCGCAGGATTGGAGTTTGCGCTCGAAGAACACAAGACAATCAACGCTCAACTCGATCTGCAAGCACCGTTGATCATCGTCCCAGTCAGCATCGCCACCAAGGAGTCCACATGCTTAATACTGGATGCTGGCCACATCAGCGTCAACAGCAAACTCGTAGACCAGGACACGATGAAGCAGATTCAGTCCAAACAGCGACAGCAATACTCAAACGAGGATTTTGAGCGTCTCGAGTCTGCCATGTATGACAAATTCTTGGTCAAGCTAACGTCGACACAATTGCTTATTGGACCATCGATTAAGGCCACCAAGAAGCAGCTCATTGATCGGGACGCCTCGCAATCGTTGCACATTGTTGACCAAATCAACATCGATTTCGTCGTGGAAACATCCATTCTTCCAAAGGCGCCGAATTTGACCAAGCTCAAGGTGTCTGGCCACCTACCGGTCCTGCAGGCGGCAATGTCCGACGCAAAGTACAAGAACCTCATGCGCATCATAGATGTCGCGATTCCCAAGTTCGGCGATGACAAGACAGCCCACAACAAGTCCAAGGAACAAACGAGACCAACGTCGCGGTCGTCCAAGGCTTCCCGACCACGCCTCGCCAGCTCAGCCTCGAATCGATCTCGCAAGGATGCCCGTCGCAAGTCATCCCAATTCCCATTCTTACAACAGCAAACCGCCATTGTCATTGATGACGATGATCTCGACGAGGATGACAATGAAAATTACGAGGATGCTTCGGACGGCGTTGATAATGAGCAGATCACGATGCAGCAGCGATCGTTTGAGCTCAAGTTCAAGGTCGACACGCTCAAGGGATCACTCTACCGCAGCGACCCCGACAGAAAGAAGCCAGATCAATTGCTCGTAGAGCTTGTCGCTAGCGATTTCGACCTGGAGTTTTTCTTGCGTCCCTATGACATGTCGGCTGAGGTGTCTCTTGGTTCCGTGACCATGGATGACTTTGTGGATGACCCACCAGGCGAGTTTAAATCGATCATTTCTTCGGGCGATGTGGAAGATCGCGAGCAGAAGCGCAGTCTCGTCAAAGTCAAGTTCACCAAGGTCAATAGCCAGTCCGCCAGAATTTATGCCC